TCTCTCTCTCTCTCTCTCTCTCTCTCTTGCTATCTCTTCCTCACCTCTCCTTTTCCTCTCTCTCTCTATCTTCTCTCTCTCTCTCTATCTCTATCTCTCTCTCTCTCTCTCTCTCTCTCTCTCTCTCTCTCTCTCCCTCTCTCCATCTTCTTAGCTTCAATAAATCTAATTCCGTATTTCCCTTCCTGCAGTGGCTATGACGCCATCAATACCAATCCTTTCCTCTCACAGACAAGAGCTGCAGGACGTAATATAAATAACTGAGCAGCCTTCCAGCTCTAGCAGTCGAAAATGTCAGTGCCACAAATAACCTGCGCGCGCACACCCGTGTAGCCAGAAATAGGTCGAGTGTCTGCGCGTGCCCTGTTGTGAGCATGCGGGGAAAATGTCACTCCCTTTATTTCGCAAGATAAGCATTATCATCGTGTTCACCTGAGAATGCGGATAGGCAGTATTGAGCACAGCTGGACCAAGAGCGTCTGACTGTCTCAGTGCGCGGCAGGTTATGCATTCTTCGACCTCCCTGACTCTTCCTCCACCACGTTCGAGAAAGTAGGCTACTTGTGGTCCATATTGCGCTAAATCAGAATTACAGAGTTCTAGATTCTATTTGACATTTGTGAGGCAGCGTGGTGGAATCAGGCTCTCGTCAAAATAATCAAATTTAAGAAACTTGCATTTTTCCACACGTTTGTGAATTTTTATCAAATTTTTGTTTTTTGGCTCGACACCTTTCATTCCCATTAAAGAACTAGTTTCTGCGTGGATTTTTCTGAAAAACGTTGCTTAAAGGCACACACAAAAATTTAAATTTTCAGTTACCGCGGACTATTAAGATTTATAAGGAAATAAGTAATCTTTGGCGGCAATTTTTTCACTAATTTTACCTCTGAAAACAGGTGACCCCACCTCCTTCATTCACAAATATCTCGACTTGTACTCGAGATAAATAGATATTTATTTCATCCAAATAAAGACAAGTGAACAAGCTCTAAGATGATACCAATAACTCTAC